CTATCTAGTGCCCTCAGCATGGGGGTTACACACACACACTACCATGCTTGGCTTTTTATGAGGGTGTTAGGGATCTAAACTCAGGTTTTTGTGGCAAGCACTTTATCCCCAGAGTTATCTCCACAACCCCTTGTAAGAGTGTTCTTGAAGTTCTTGTCTCTAGGTCTACCACAGGGCTCTTTACAAAGGCAAATTTTATTCCTTGATTTCTCTTGTGTTTGAAGGTCTTCTTCCTTTCTCCATATTTTTCTTTGAAACTGGACATTTTAAATAATGTGTAATAACAACTGTAAGTACTAGTTTTCCTTAAGCATTGTGCTTGCTTGCTTGTTTCTTAGTGACGACAGAACTAATTCTACCAAGTCTATTTCTATAGCCAGGGTAGCCTCTGATATCTCTACTCAGGTTTTTCCACTTTTGCCTTCATCTTAGCCTGACCTTCTAAAGACACAAGCCACTTACCTATCAAAGGACATTAAAAGCCACCTATGTTGAACACATAAGAACTTGACTCAGGATGAGAACACTGGAACACTAATGCCCTCACCCTTCTGGGCCCCTATGTTTAACCCCTTTACCTAGTTGGATTTTTCACCCCTGACCCATAGAAGTGTGGCTTTGATGCTTCTATCGCAACTCTAGGAGCGTACTCTCGCTCCCTCACGTTCAGGGAGGGGCTAGTGCCTGGAGTTCCTTCTTCAATGACTCCAGAGAGTCTTCAGCCTTAGACACTCACACTCTTCTACATGGCTGGTGTGTGGGGGTGCTTTTATTTTCAAACCTGGATTTTTAGGAGTCAGAGAAGCGAATTGCTACTCAGCAGATGTATGTAAGACCTTTGCAACAGGGAGCACCTGCTACATATGAACAGCTTGGGAGATACACCCAAGCTGGCCCTCCAACTGCTCCCAGTCGACACAGCCTAACTATGGGTGCATCCTTCCTGGCCCTGGAATTGACCATGACACTAGAAAGCATTTTTTTCAATTGTCTCTTTCACCCATTCTTTTGACCAAGTTTCTTCTCTGCCATTTTTCCTGCAGTATGGCATCACCAGCCTCCTCTTCATTGCTCCCCACCACGTACTGGGTTGTAGTCAAGAATGACTTATACATGGAGTTTTCTACTCTGTCCTACATGAAATCAGCCCCCTTGGGCAGATCGGCAGTGATCTTCAGTCTTCTTTTCTCCTGTGCTGAAGTCCTATACCAAGGTGCCAGAGTAAGGATCAGGGACCCACTTCTCCCAGTGAGATCCCCTGCTCACTGTGGAGATAAGGGAGGGAGAAGCCCCTGATCCTCTTTCCTCGCCCTTCACAGCATATGGGCAAAGTAGGATGGGGGCATTTGGGCTCATGTTCTCACCCTGAGTCCTATGCGTTCAAGCTAAGTGGGGCTAGGAAACAGGCTCAACCTTCTTGGCCATGCCTACCTAGAAGTAGGCTTCTGCACCATAAGGCTATGAAAAATAAGAAATGGTAAGCCGGGCATGGTGGTGCATGCCTTTAATCCCAGCACTCGGGAGGCAGAGGCAGGCAGATCTTTGTTGAGTTCAAGGCCAGCCTGGTCTACATAGCGAGTTCCAGGGCAGCTGGGGCTACAGGGAGACCCTGTCTCAAAAAGACAAAAGAAAAAAGAAAGAAAGAAAAACAAGAAATGGTAACGTGCCCCACCCCAGGTGAGATGGTGGCTCTGAACCGGGGGCTGGATAGCAAAGCAGCCTCACATACCTGGACAGCATAGTCTGTGACATGAAGGGAGGTGTCAAGGGCTGGATTCTGACTCACATGACATGTACTTTTACTGCTCTCACCAAGAATTTCAGATTTTTTAGTAACTCTTTCTTCATTTACTTCAAAACTTTGGAACAACTTTTAAATAATTGTCATTCATAATTTTCACCAATCAAATTGTTTTTCTGGCAGTCTGCCAGGTTTCATACCCCTCTCCTCACTCTGTGGTAAACCTTGAATCTACACAATCCATCATTGGATTAAGATGGCTTTATTAATTTATTTGCCCAATATTTATGGAATATCTACTTGACAGACAGTGATTTGTTGCTCATTGACCTGTATAACTTCTTATTCTTTCAAGTTTCTGCACACACAACACTCATCTCCAACTGGATCAGGTTCATCTCAATGGAAGAAGCCCTGTCTTTTCAAACTTCATAAATCCCCACAGTGCTCAGCACAAGGTAGAATGTACAATTTATGCTTTTGTTCGACACTTCTTTCTTGATTTCTGCACTCGGCTAAGATCTCATTTCCAAAACGAGGCCTATTTCTAAAGTGCTTATTTTTTCTTGCTTTCATTTACCAGATCACTCTAGATTGCCTGGCATCTGTCTCTAATAGGAAAGTTGTTTTGCTTCCATTTGGAGGTGCCTGATATGCATCAGATCATCATATATGCACGATGACATTTAGTCCATGGTTGAAATATTCTTAACCCATTGTACAGATGAGAAACCAGAGACTGGAAAGGTGAAGGAACTGTCTTGGTCCGTTATGTGTTGTTCTAACAGAGTATCACAGACTAGATGATTTATATAGAAGAGAAATGCATTTCTCACCATTCTGAGAACTGGAAACTATAACATAAAAGTGCTGGGTGCCTGGGAAGGCGTCTTGCTGTGTCATGCCATAGAGGAAAGTGGAAGAACAAGACAGCATGAATCTAAACTCGTGTTTTTGTTGGCAAGTTACCCCCAAGATAATGGCAGTAGTCCGTTCGTGGGGACAGAAGCCTTATGACCTAATCACCTCTTAAAGGTCCCTTCTCCCACACTGTTACACTGGAAATTAAGTCTCCAACATATCATCTTAGGGACAAACATTCAAGTCATAGCAGGAACTTGTTCAAAGTCATAGCAAGTAAATGGCAAAGCAGTGTAAGCCAACATGGGGCTGCCTGGCTCCAACACTAGATCTCTTTCCTCTATGGATTTGCCAGCTCCCTCCTCCTGAGAAGAGAAGAGAAGCACTGCAGGCTTGAGGAAAATCATTTCTGACACATGGAATTGTCTGTAGCACTGCACACTCTGGAAGCCTCTGTTTCTCCCACAGCCAGTGTGCTCTGGGGCCTCTTCATGCTCGCTGCACTCTGGCACACAAAATGACTAGTGAAGAACCGCAGAAGGGAAATGGAGTGACCTTGTTGCACCACCCCAAAACCCTCCCCCAGTGACCCCAATTATGACCACAATCTGGCCTATTTACAAATATGTAACCCACAGAATGGCAAATATAACTCAACCACAACCAATCTGGCCCTTGTTAACTGTGTTGTACTGAGAACTTGTACAAATATCATTATGAAACACTTATTTAGGAAAAAAAATTATGCTGAACTTACACTTTTCTGCCCCTCCAGGAAAAAAAAAAAAAAAACAGTCAGCTAGGAACAGTGATGCATACCCACAGCTCATTCCCTTAAACTGATTTGTGGACATCTTCAAAACCTGGCATCCCTGAGACCTTTCAGCCCTTCAGTAAGATTTGACTGAGTCAGTTGGATCTCATAGCTTAGTTCCTCTAGGCAAATCTAATCTCTTACCTCTTCCACCAGGCTTCGGAATCAATGAATAAGGAGAGTAATGTTGGAAAGAATTTCAGGGGAAACCTCTAAGGAAAATGTGGTTTCCACAGCAGGAAGAAAAGTTGACATTTCATTAAATTGTATTAGACTATAAACTTACTGGATGTTGGGCTACCTTTCCCATAAGTCCTATAAATCTCCTGGTATGATATTATTTACCATCAGGAAGTCTTCAGGTAGTCTTTAATTATTGCGGTCTGAATCTTCCCTTAGCAGTGAATCTAGGATTAAGTGACTTCAAGGGTTTCCCCCTTAAATCTGTTCTATTACCAGTTCTCAACCACCAAATGGCCCATTTAAACCTTCTTTGCATCTCTCTGGGAGTTCCAAGGTATGTTTGTAATGTCTCACATAAAATTTAAGGTGCTTCTCAAACACCTCTCCTTCCTTGTCCTCTGGTTACTGTTTCTGTTGTCTAGAGGTCCTCTTGTTCTGATCAGCCATATCAAGGTATTCTGGGTTGGACTGAGAGGATTCAATAATAATAATCCTTTCCTCTGGGAAAGTTATGAACCCAAAGACAAATATGATGAAGCACTAAGATGAAATGAAGCCAACACTGATGACTAAGAAAAGCTGAGCTGACAGGGATGGCTTTCACCTGTGGGCTAGCACTGCAAGTGCCCTAGATGCAGTCAGTGTTCTGCCACTTGTGGCATGGAGAGGTAGGTAGTCAGTGTTCTGCCACTTGTGGCATAGAGAGGTAGGTAGTCAGTGTTCTGCCACTTGTGGCATGGAGAGGTAGGTAGTCAGTGTTCTGCCACTTGTGGCATGGAGAGGTAGAAGTAGGCAGAGATGTGAACAATGTCTACTCAACCCAGATAGAAAACCAGTGACCGATCAAAGTAAGGATGCCACCAAAGCCCACCTTGGTGAACTAATGACTTTCATTGGGGTTACTTACATGAGTATAGATGAGGGATTACTTACAGGAATGGAAATGACTCAAAGACAGCTCCATCACCAAAAGCCTCACCCCAGCATGGGTCACAGCTCACTAAGATGGAAATCTGTCAACATGCAGGCAGCTCAGCAGGCTGGAGCTGTGTTTTTTCCAGGCAACTCAGCTGGTCTGAGCCTCTTTGAGGCAGCTGGTCTGGTCTCTGCTACCTCCAGGGAAGCTTAGCTTGTCTAAGAGTGTCTCTCAGTAGTTCTTGGGGGTTATAGATGCTTGGGGAGGGAGAGGCCTAGTGAATTAGATCAATTTCAGGGACCTCCTGAAGCTATTGCGTTGTCTACTTCCTCAGCTTAAAGAGCTTCCCTGCAGGATGGAAAGTTTTACTTCCCTTCAAAACATCCTATTGCTTACTTCCCCTTAGACATTCTGTGTCTACTTTCCTTTAGAACATCCTGTTCTTTACCCAGCTTCCCTCAGTGATGGAAGGTTTTATCTCTTAGGAAATTGCTACAAAAAAGATGGAAGTAAAGGAGCCCATCCCATAAAATCAAGGAGACCCAGCATGGTGGAGGAGCCAGCTGTTACTTCCCAGCGCCCTTCAGCAATTTGTTGAGAAGGCCCTAGCCATGATGTTGATGCTTCACCTCTACAGGTACTGAAGTTTCTGGTGTCTCCCTCTCTGACATTCTGCTTTCCCCTAGACCCTTGTCCTTCCCCTTTAAAACACTATTCTTTTGGGGCTGGAGAAATAGCTCAGCAGTCAAGAGCACTGGCCACTCTCCCAAGGACCTGGGTTCGAGTCTCAGCAGCCACATGGTGGCTAACAACCATTTGCAACTCCAGTTCCAGGAGATCGGATGCCCTCTTCTGACCTCCACAGGCATTGTTTGACATGGGTGCATTTACCTACATGCAGGCAATATACTCATATACATAAAATAAAATGATAAATAAAATATTTAAAAATTACTGTAATTCTAGCCAGTGTACATCCTACAAAAGGGAGAATTATCGAGGACCTTAGGCTATGTGTAATAAAAATCTAAAAGTTATAAGTGTTTCTTTCTTTGTGTGTGTGTGTGAGAGAGAGAGAGAGAGAGAGAGAGAGAGAGTACTTGTGGAGGCCAGAGGACAGCTTGCTGAAGTTCGTTCTTTCCTTCCCCCATATAATTACCAGGGATCAAACTCAAGTAGTCAGGCCCAGCAGCAAGTATCTTTACCCACTGAGCCATCACACTGCCTCTCCACCTTTATTTTTGAGACATGGTCTCTCATTGAATCTGGAGTTCACAGATCCTGCCCTCCTGGCTGACCACCAAGCCACAGGAATTTTCCAGTCACCACCTACCAAGTACTGGGTTTACAGGTGGGTGCCCCTGTGCCCACCCTTTACATAAGTGCTGGGAAATGACCTCAGGTCCTCATGTTCGTGCAGCACCTACTTCACCAACTGAGTCACCTCTCCAGTCCCTCAGATAATATTCTTTCCATAAGGCAAATGTCAGCACTCAAAATAAGAGGAGAAAGTTAGAGTTGTGTTCTAGTAGTAAAATTTGGTTTCATATCTGTTTTTTTTTTTGTTTTATTGTCTTGTTTTTGTTTGGGGATGGGTTTTGGGGGGGGGAGGGAGCTTATAACTAATTTATTGAGTGATCTAGACTCATAGAATTCCAATGAAAAAATATTTTTTCCAGCGACTCCTCTGGTGCCTCTCATTTTCCTTAAGTAACAATTTAGGTAAAACTTTATGGTCATATTCATATATAAAAATATCAATGTGGGGGCAGAGAAATGACTCAGCAGTTAAGAGCACTGGCTGCTCTCGCAGAGGACACAGGTTTGGTTCCCAGCACCCACGTAGCAACTTACGACCATCTGTAACACCAGTTCAAGAGAATCCAACCCCTCCTCTGACTTCCTTGAGCACTGCGTGCAAGTGGTGCACTTACATGCATGTAGCTAAAACATTCACACACGTAAAATAATTTTTTTAAAAGATAAATAAAAATCAAAAATATCAATGTAATACAATTGATCTAGTTCAAAGCTTTAAATATCTGTGGCTTATTTTTTGTCCTCCTAATTCAGGAGTATATGATCCACAGTGGAAGCCAGTATTCTTTTCTCTCTCCCTTTTCTTCATTCTCATCTGGCTGCCTTCATTTCTCCCCCAAGTTTCTGAGCCTTAAAACAGGTAGCAAAATTCTATTAAAGTAGTATAGTTTTATCCTTCCTTCCTTGGTAACCAATAGCCCTATATGGTAGACATCTGAATGTTGAGTCTCTCATGTAGCACAATGAGTTAGTGTGATTCTACACAAACTTCATATTGCACACTACCTGCCATGGGAGATGACTTCTGGTATGATTTCTTGTCATCACCACTCTACCCTGAGTTCTGATTCCCATTGGTAAATGCCCTAGCGTCTTTCTGGGTGGAATACCCATAAAAGATCTTTGCATTACTAAAAGGGAAACAAAGAATTGGGTGTTGGGATAGAGTTTGGCAGGCTCTGCCAAGCATATCTGAGAAGTCTTCACACTGTCCTTCAAATTACTTTGCCCTTGTGCCTCGTGTGGACTTCTCCATTTCCTCTAGACCCCCCGATGACCCTGCTCCTCTTTTTGCCATCATCCAACACATTTATACATACTGAAAACCTAATTATAAGTAAGTGCACATCTTCTGGCTTACCAGACACACGCAGTTCAAATCATTGAGTATGTGATATATGTGTACGCATGTGCTGCCCGAGGAACGCACCAGAGGAACAACGACCTATGCCACTTAAAGAGGTCAGAGGAAGAAAGGAATCCCCTAATGACAGTGATGCTTGAGACAAGTTCTCGAAGAGGAAGGGTGTCCCCTGAGAAGTCTTGTGACAGCACAAACAGCACATCACATGCAGGAGGTAGAGGGAAGGAGGAAGATGGTACATCCAAGGAAGAGCAAACACAACTCTATTTCTTGAGAGGCAAGTTTGAGTAGGAATGGGGGAAATTGTCAGAAAGCAGACGAAAAGCAAATTATGAAGATTCTCATAGACGTGGGCTTTATCTTTTGACAGCAAATGGAATTTAATGGAGAATCTTAAGCAGGGAAGTAATTCAAACCAACCTTCTTTTAAGAAGCAATACTTTTATTAATTCTTTGAGAATCTCATACAATATATTTTGATCATATCCAATCCCTTCCTCCAGCTCCTCTCATATCCAATCCACCCCCACTCCTCTACCCCCTATACCTTCTAATCCTCCTTTTTTTCAAAAAAGACCATCAAGTCCAATTTGTGTTCCCCAAATATTCTTGAGTATGGGACCATCCTCTGGAGTGTGGTGAGCCTACTAGGGGTCACACCCCTTAAGAAAACTTAGTCTCCTTTTCCCAGAAACTATCAATTGCCAGTAGCTAGGATGGGCTTCATACCCACCTCCCCGTCCATGATAGGACTTTCTCTGGTTTGAGCTTATACAGGTTGTGTGCATGCTGTCACAACCACTGTGAGTTTATATGTACAACTGCCCTGTTGTGTCCAGAAAACATTCTTGTTGTCATCTGTCACCCCTGGCTCTTACAACATTTCTTCCCCCTCTTCCTCAAGGATCCCTGAGCCTTGTGGGGAGCAGTATGATATAGATATCCCATTTAGGACTTAGCACTCCACATTAGTTTTCTGCACAATGGCCAGTTATGGGTCTCTGTGTTAATCACCATCTACTGCAAAAAGAAGCTTCTTTGATGAGAGTTGAGAGATGCACTAATCTATGGGAATACTGATAAGCAATTAGGAGTCATCAAACCAATTTTTATTTCTGAAAGACAGCTCTGATATCTGGATAAAAGGTAAATTGTAGGCAAGACTGGATGCTACCAGAGCAGTCATCAGGCCATTGGAGACATTCAACGGAAACAATTCAGGGCCTGAAGGAAAATAATGATACATCTGCTGTTAAGCCTACACATTTTTCCTTGAGGGCATTTTCCTTCTTTTTGCTTATACAATGTTTCATTCTAAAAAGGATTTGGGGTGACTTTCATGAACTCAACAAATACTGTAGTGAATATGAATCCCAGTCTGAAAATTAAGGGTATGTAAGAAATATTGTATTTCTTGTGTTTCTATGTATCAAACATTTCTTTTTAAAATATATTTTTTAAGTCTTTGAGAAATTCACACATGCATACAATGTATTTTGATCATGTTTACTCCCCAACTCCTCCCATATCTCCATCCCCATCCAAACTTCACGTCCTTCTTTTATTTTGGCTAATAACATACCAAGTCCAATTTGTGCTGCCCATATACTCATGGATGTGGGGCTATCCACTGGGACACGGTCAACCTACCATAGGCCACACCCTTAAAGAAAATAGACTCTCCCTCCTTCGGAAGCTGTCAACTGTCAATAGCTCCTCAGCTAGAGGTGGGGGATCAGGAGCCCCTCCCTACCCCATGAAAGAGTGTTGATTAGCTTGGTCTTGTTCAAGTCTTGTGTAGACAGTTGTAGTTGCTCTGAGTTCATATGTACAATGGTCCTGTTATGTCCAGAAGACACTTTGCTTCTGTTTTCCTCCAACGTTTGGCTCTTACAATCTTTCTGCCCCCTCTTCTATGATAATTCCTGAGCTTTGGGGGAGGGGTGTGGATGCCCCGTTTGTGAGAGAGCACTCCACTGACACTTATTCTCCCCACTTTAATCAGTTGTGAGTTTCTGTGTCAACTGCTATGTATTCCACCACATGGAGAAACTTCTCTGATGAGGTCTGAGAGCTGTACTGATCTATGGGTATAGAGATACGAATTTAGAGCATTATTTCTAATACAAGCCTACTCCTGTTGGGTAGGTGGAAAATTTAGCCTCAGTCATTTTGGGAGACCTCACCTTCACATTAGTATGAAATCTCTCAAAGTTTTCCATAACCCCAAGGCACTGAAGAGACCTCACTGATGCTCAGTCTGCACTTGGAACAAGGACATATCCAATGGAGTTCCATGGCTCTGTCCATTCCAAGTCATGTTTATGAAAGACGTTGTTGGCCACCCTTCTCATTTGGACATATCCAATGGAGTTCCGTGGCTCTGTCCATTCCAAGTCATGTTTATGAAAGACATTGCTGGCCACCCTTCTCATTTGAGGTCTTCCTCCTTTTCTGGAGTTATGCTTCCCTCTTCTTTCTCTAAACCAACAAATCCAAAAAAAATTCTGTGCCGCTCTGTCAACCTGGGAATTCCTCCTCTCTCCAAGTTTCCCTCAGAAGTCCATTTTTCTCTTTCCAGATTCTTACTTCAGCCTTTTCAAGGGCTTTGGACATCTTTAAGCAAATCCATAAAGAGAAGTGAACCACAATTCCATTACCCTGAAACAAGCAGGCACATTCTGCAAACTATGTCACAAAAGAATGAGAGGACCTCATGGAAGAGAGCAGCTAGGAGCCCAAGATCAAACCACCAAATTTGGTATCTGATGAAAGACAACTTACTGGTTCATAGATCCTCACCTTCTCATGGAACATCACATGGTAGACATGGCAAGAGAACTCTCTGGGTCCCCTTCTGTAAGGACAGCAATCACGCTCATGAAGGCTTTGTCCCATGACTTACTCACTTTCCAAAGGCCCCTTCTCCAA